GGATCCCCTCAAGGCATTGCGCGTGATAATTGGAAAGGCACATTGGAATGACCTTCGACGCCCCCCAAAGTGTTCTTCAAACGTTGAAGAGATTTACTTGATGATCCTTGAACCGGCGAATGGCAAAGCAATCAATATCGAGCATGTCATCTCATGGCTCAACCCCACACTCTTCCCAGCACTACGATCTTTCACTACCTTTCAAGAATCCGGCGCGAATTCTGAAGTCGTGCTCCCACTGCCCTTTGTCAATGGGCCTGCCCTGTTCAAAACACGGGGCGTGAAAGACATTGAAGAATTTGAAGCTCTAGTTTCTTCTACTACAGGATTTTCTTACTTTGATCCTTAGCCACCGTCAAATGTAGAGGAGCCGATACTGGCCCTCAGCACAGTGTCATAAAAGCCAACAGCACAGTTAATAATATCCGCCGCCAAGGCAATAATGCTATCACGTGAGCACGGTGCACCTACATCTGTCGTGACAGACGACAGGCCATGACCAACCTCCTTTGTGTTCATAATTGGGTTGAACATGCACAATGCTCTACAACAAACGTTCATGTCGTATGCAAATTATCCCAATTGAATGCTCCGTCATTTAATGTAAGCAAATCATCACAAGTGAACGCTCATGTTGTCATTTAATGTTTTTTTGGACTCCTCGACAGTGCAGACCAGTTCCCGACCTCATCACGTTATGACGTCTTTCTTCTCCTATTCTACACATACTTCAAACTGCCGCCCTCTAACAGTGTTCTACACCACTATGACCATGTCCCCATCAAATCGAACTACAAATGCCATTGTACGATTTTCGGCCAGATCCTTTATGTCCACCGATCCAGTAAGTAAATCAAGCCAATCCAACCACCAGCTAAATTAACTCCCAACAGAGTACACGTCTATGTACCTACCGAAATGTAGGCCTAATCGGAACGGGATGTACGGTGACCCACATTGTTCCTGTCGCCATTTACGATTCACCAGCGCTTCGAACGACGTTTGACGACTTCAACGTCCGGCCGTGGCTCACGCTCGACACAGATTACAACGACTGGGTTGAAGGACAAGACTATGACGTATACTCACATTTTACGTCTGATGACAACGTGCCTATCGGCGTTCGATACATCATCCTACATGAGCCTCAGGACACAACAGCCTCACCCGCGAACGAATACATTCACGCTTTAATGGACAACAACATCGACGCCATGCCGTGGTTGGGCAATCTCCTAATTTTTAAAACAGACTGGGGGATGGAAGTCACCAATATTGAAGATGAAGACTTGCCCCTCATCAAACGGCTCGCAACTCTGTACGTCACCCACTGCTCAACTCAATTGTAAATTGACCAACGTCTTCTACAGCCACGTCCTGAAGGGACGAACACCGTAGGATTTTCATGTTGGCTGGCATGTAACCCGTTTAAATAAATTCCGAATCTATTTTGTACTACAACCTANACAATGACGGCGTTTTCACCGTGCACATGAAGCTAATGAACCTTAAGCGATGCATGATAAGATTTTCAATAACATGCTCACCGCGCCAAAATAAATCCG